GGCTGCGGAGGGGACGGTCAATGCCCCCCTTCTGCGGGCAGCGAGGGTGCTGCGGAGGAACGGTGGGTGCCGGGGGGCTTTTGGGCAAGGGGTGATGGAGTAAGGATGCTGCTCCCCTCCCGAGCAGGCACCGTGGGGGTCCCTGGCCGGTCCCACCACGGGGTCCCTGCTTCGTCCCTCGTCATCGTCGGAGCACTCTCCTGACATCACCTCTCAGCAGCCTCTAGTTAGATGTTCTGAGCCCTGCTGCCAAATCCGTCGGACGCGTTATCGCCCAGCCAGCGATCAGCAGGACGCCGTAGCCCTTCGCCCCGCACCGTGGCCGGTCCGCCGGCTCGGTCCTCAGCACCTCGGTGTGCCCAAGCTCTGGCTCACGTCCCACCTGCGTTGAGATGGTTGAGCCTTGCTTTCCTGGAAGTACGAATTGGGCATAAGCTCCTGCTGAGCATCCTTTTATCCCCCGCTGGGGTGTCCTGGTCCGGACAGAGCCTTGCGAATGGGAGATTTTAGGTTGGGAAGGTCTGAGAAACGTGGCTGGGGAGGGGAGGTGAAATCAAATGCCTGTGGGAGAGCTGGAGTGGGAAAACCGGTGCTCCCCGCTCTGCCCTTCCCCAGGATTTAAGACCTGCGTCCTCACCAACAACTGGGTGGACGACAGCGCCGGGCGGCTCTTCACGGCCGCGCTGATGAACCTGCTGCGCCGCCACTTCGACCTGGTGATCGAGTCCTGCCGGCTCGGAGCGCGGAAGCCAGATCCCGAGATCTACGCCTACGCCCTGGATGCGCTGGAGGCGAAGCCGCAGGAGGTACAGCCGTCACCCTAAAAACAAGGCACGGGGGGGTCCCTCCAAGTCCTTGGCCAAAGCCAGCGGCCGCCCTTCCCTGGGGTGCTGAGCCCGGCTCTCGCTGGTGTATCTCCAGGTCATCCTCCTGGACGACATCGGGGAGAACCTGAAGCCGGCCCAGGAGATGGGCATGGCCACCGTCCTCGTCAGGGACACCGAAACCGTCCTGAAGGAGCTGGAGGAGCTCTCGGGTGTCCAGGCACGTAGAGGTGGTCTGGGTCCCCTCTGTCCCCTTGCTCTCCTGGGGACGCTGGACCAGTTCTGCAGAGCCAGGAGGGATGGGCTCGGGCTTCTGGCTCTTGCCGTGATGGCGGTGCTTATACAGGACTTGTGGGTGGCTTTGGAAACGAACGGGATGGGGGCCATGAACTCCAGCAGATCCTGCCCACCCCCCTGGTAACCTCATCCCCTGGACCTGCTGGGCCGTGTCTATCTCAAACGCATGGATGTCCCACCAGCAGCAGGGTGGTGGGGATGTCCCGTGGAGCTCCAGGCTTGCTCGGGAGCTCACCCTGTGTTCCTCACCCCGCGTTCCTCACCCCACAGCTTCTCACCCAAGAAGAGCCGCTGCCGACTGCCTGTGATCCATCCAACGTGACCCACGGATACGTCCCCATCCGGGTAGGGCCAAGGGGGCTGCCTCAGTGACAAGCTGTCCCCGGGCTTGGCAGGGCTTGGGGGGGCTGGGGGGGCGGGGGTCCGGGGGGGGGGGTGGG